AACCCACCCCCAACCCCAAACCCAAACCCAAACCCAACCCCAAACCCTATAGGAATGAATAATGGAGATTTTAATGGATCTATCCTGATACTCTAGCTTTGATGATTGGAAAATTTATAATTCGAATAGTCTACCAGAACTTAATAGAAGTTCCTGTGCTAAGCAGCCTGCCGACATATAATAACTGTTTAACATGTGGATTATATCCAATTTAAGGGATACATTAATGTTAGATCTAATTGCTCATAAGGAATGAATGAATATTATCATAAATAAATTAGGCAAGTTATATTTGTACTTTAAATTGCCAATTTATATTTCGAACAAATGTTAATTATAACTATAATTTATTGAATATTACATTAATTACAAAAAGTATTAACTCTTTTATTCATAAAATTTTGTAAATTTAAATTTTTAATAAGTATCAAGTTAAAAGTTTTTTGCAAAAAAAAAAATTAATTTTTAGTTCTATATATTTATTATATGATAATAAGTAAAATCTAGGAAATAAATTAGAAGAAGCAAATTTGTTGGTGGTCCGGTTGAAATTATTTTACTGTTTTGAAGTTGACTATCTCTAATCTAGCCATCATAAATAAAGAGCGAATATTTGCTGACAGTAGTCATAAACTAATTATTTACTTGCTTGATTTGAAAATTTCGTATTTGATTTAAGAAGTAACCAAAAATTGAATAATATAGAGAATATTTTTTATTGGTTGGATAGGATATTGGCTTTTGCTTCACACCAAAAATTGGGAACTATTTTTTGTTCGCTCAACCATTAATATTTTAAACAACCAATTTAATGTGAATACTTTATCCAAATATCATAAAAAATCGAAGAATTTAAATTTATCAATTTATCTATTAAAAAAGACTTAAAATAATCATAAGTTCTATTGAAGAGTGTAAAAGAGTAAAACAAATATTGAGGGAATATAAACAATTACGATCTGAAAGTAGGCTCATATAAGAAGCCTTAACCATTATTATATGATTTGGTAAATTATGACAATCTAACCAAAAAGTTTGTCTTTTATTATTTGAAATTATGACATCTTTGGAAAAGACTCCCCTAAATAATCCACATTTTTTTACCTAATAATTTTATTTGTTAACTAATATGTTGATTTCAAATGACAAAAATCCCTATTTATATTCAATCAAACTCTTGTTTGAGTTTTTTATGAGAATGGCTACTTGATCTGTAATCTAAACAAGTTTGAAGTAGTATTAGATATATTAAAATCAAATTAACTTCTACTAAGAACACTTTATTTACCTTTTGTTAATTTTTTCATTTTATTATTGTAAAATAATTTATCTTGTAAAATTTAAATATCAAATTCCTTAAATCATTCATAGCCTTCAAAAAGAAGTTTGTAATTCAAAAAACAAATTTAATAAAATAGGAAAAGATTAAAAATGTGAAATCATAATTAATAATTTTGAGAATTTAAATAGTTTAATCGCAATCAGCAATTTTCATAAGAACAATCATAAATATGCTAAACCCCTGCAAAGAAAAAAGGGAAATTATTTTATGTAAAATTCTCTCAAAATCAAAAAGGTATTTTCAATATATTGTAACTAAAGAGTAAAATTCAATTTACATTTATTCACTAATTAAGGATTTTCAATAAAATTATATATTCTTAATAAAAATGTCTTAATCAAAAATTAAAAACACAAGAATTTAACTCATTTCTTATTCAGGAAATTATATAAACAAAATTATTATTTAGCTGTTTAAATTATGAAATAACAAAATAATTAAATTTAATATAAAAAGAAAATCCTTTTAGACAAAAAATGTTCCTATTTTAAATTTATTAATATAATGAAATCAATTAAATTTCTAGGGTGCCTTTGAATATTGCACTTAAAACATCATCTATTATTATTAAACATTCTAGTATGCAGCTGGTTAAACTTATTATAATTGCATTCCTTAAGCAGAAAATAAAGAATTGACTCCTCCCTATTGATAATTATTACTGACCATTTGACACATTTGTTTCTGTCCAAATAAACTATATGATGTTCTTGCAGATGCTTATTTTGCTTATTACAAATCTTAAATAATTCCAGTACATTAAGCAGCAACATTTGGTATCTTTTAAATTTGTATCAACATATTATCAATTAATTTTTCGGCATCCTCGTTCTTATTTTATTCACAAGCTTTTCTTGCTTCATCTATCACTTCTGTTCCTTTGACTCTGAAATACTATGCATAAACATCAAGATCAGCTTCATTTTAATTAATTTATTCATCTTAATTAAAAAATGTTAATGTGAGACTGGTTTATTTGGTAATAACTGTTCCATTAACTGGATCTTTGATTTTTAATTCTGCATCTATAACTTTGACATTTCTTTGGAAATCCTCAATTTTTGCCTCAAACTTAGGAAGAACTAATTCAAAAACATAATCTTTTCTGGATCCTGAAGCAAATTAAGGTTGAGTAATATAATATAGATTTCCTTTCTTTTACCACATATTACCATAAGTTTTAGATATTTAAATGTTTTAATAGGGAGGAGGTGCTTAAGAAGTAATAGTTATTTCTAATTATTCGCCCACAACTGAAATAAGTCCTCCCAAAGCATCTGCAAAGAATTCATCCAATAATGTTACATCTTAAACAAAATAGAAACTTCCACTTTTTAAATTACAAATTTGAGTCATCATAGGAGCATCATGATCTTATCCAAAACCAAATGTATGTAAAGTAAATACTTCATTGACTGTCTTTATTTGTTCCGATATCCTTTAAACTGCATTACCATCTTGACCATCTGAAAGCAAGAATATAGATGTGACATTATTTCTATATTTTCTTTCTTTTAATTATCTAAAAGCTAAATCAGTAGCTGAACCAATATTTGTTCCACCGCCTGAATAAATTTATGATATTATTTATCTAAAGTATTGTTTATTTCCATCTGTTACTCGTTTTAATGGAGTTAGTCTTTAGGCTGAAGACTCAAATGTGATAAGTTAATATCGATCACAATCACTTAGAAAATCAAGTAAGACGCTTAAAGTTTGCTGAACCATTGCTATCTTCTATCCATCCATACTTCCACTTTTATCAATTAAACAAATCTAACATAAATTAAAATTATTATATACCAAATCTACTCCAACCCTTTAATTTTCAGGATTTTGAGTAATAGTTTAATCTTATGCTTTTATACTTACAATTCCTGGTAAGTATTACGTTCTACTGTTCATCAATTTCCCCATTTTGTATAAGGTTTTAACTTCGAATGAAAGTTTTTCATTTAAATCATACTTATTAGAAGTTTATTTAGCATCTTCTTTTTTAGGCTCTACTTTTTCATCATCTTGAAAATTAATTGGTAGTTAGTTTTATATTACCATATTATTGATTCCAAAAAGACTAGGTTATAAATTAGGTTAAGCATAAAACTATTTTTATGGCTATTATTGAGAAGGACCTCCAAAAATATTATAATTAGTATGAGTAGGTTATGATAAAATTGGAAAATTTGGGGATGATTACATGGGTATTTGACTAAAATTTTGGAAATTTAACTGCTGTTGTTGATTTTAAATTTATTATTGTTATTATTGTTAATTAGATGGATTGGCAAACATTGATTATAATTGCTGATTTTGATTCATGATTATAAAGAAATAAAATATTTAAATAATTTAAAATTTATTTTCTGCCTTTAATCATCCTTTTTTGATAAAATCTGGTTATTTATATAATGATTTATAAAAATTATCTTAAAATTTTTACTCATTTAAAAGAAAAGTAAACATATGAATTAAATTTTTTTTAGTATGAATAAAAATTATGAATTTAATACTATGAATAAATACAATCCAAAAAAATATAATATTTGCTTAAAAAAATCAGGCATTAATGATATATTTGGTATTAATTAATTAAAAAAAAAAAGAATTATTATCAATATGATATCAGAAATTATCAAATAATTGTATTTCTAAGCAAATTATTTATGAGCATTTAAATATTAAAATAAAACTAAAATGATTAAGACCTATTTTAAATAACATCCTAGCTAGGTAATGCTTTTATTTATACCTTTAGATGTAGGCCTTACTAAGAACTTAAAGTTAGTTATCGATTAACCTTTCAAAATAGCTCTAATAACAAAAGTTAGAAAACGTTTAGTAATAAAAAATTGCAAAATAACCTGTGAGATATTTTTTCCAATATCAAATGAATCCTCATATTAATTAATTATAATTCAAATATGGCGAGTTAGTGTAGTAAACAAAAGGAGAATACATTATTATTAACCTAATATATAAAATATAAAGATATAAAGCCCTTTAAAATATAATATTATCAAGACGATGAAATGATTCAACCAAAAAAAGATAAGTAAAAATAAATAGCTAAATATGATTTAAATGTGTATTTACAATTCGTAATAAAAACTTAATATAAAAAGGTCAAACTAATCCCTGAAAAAGCATAATACTTACCAGGAATTGTAAGTATAAAAGCATAAGATTAAACTATTACTCAAAATCCTGAAAATTAAAGGGTTGGAGTAGATTTGGTATATAATAATTTTAATTTATGTTAGATTTGTTTAATTGATAAAAGTGGAAGTATGATTGAAGTTAAAATTCAAATGGTTAAATAATCTTTAATTGTTTTACTTTAATTTTTTGGAGATAACGATAGACTACAATTAATAACATTCGATAATGATGCCCATAGATTAACACCATTAAAGAGAGTAACAAAACAGAATAAAATTTATTTTACTTAAATTATTCAATAAATTCAGACAAATGGAGGTAATAGTATTCCAGAAGCTACTAAAATGGCATTTTGCTNTAACATAAATTAAAATTATTATATACCAAATCTACTCCAACCCTTTAATTTTCAGGATTTTGAGTAATAGTTTAATCTTATGCTTTTATACTTACAATTCCTGGTAAGTATTATGCTTTTTCAGGGATTAGTTTGACCTTTTTATATTAAGTTTTTATTACGAATTGTAAATACACATTTAAATCATATTTAGCTATTTATTTTTACTTATCTTTTTTTGGTTGAATCATTTCATCGTCTTGATAATATTATATTTTAAAGGGCTTTATATCTTTATATTTTATATATTAGGTTAATAATAATGTATTCTCCTTTTGTTTACTACACTAACTCGCCATATTTGAATTATAATTAATTAATATGAGGATTCATTTGATATTGGAAAAAATATCTCACAGGTTATTTTGCAATTTTTTATTACTAAACGTTTTCTAACTTTTGTTATTAGAGCTATTTTGAAAGGTTAATCGATAACTAACTTTAAGTTCTTAGTAAGGCCTACATCTAAAGGTATAAATAAAAGCATTACCTAGCTAGGATGTTATTTAAAATAGGTCTTAATCATTTTAGTTTTATTTTAATATTTAAATGCTCATAAATAATTTGCTTAGAAATACAATTATTTGATAATTTCTGATATCATATTGATAATAATTCTTTTTTTTTTTAATTAATTAATACCAAATATATCATTAATGCCTGATTTTTTTAAGCAAATATTATATTTTTTTGGATTGTATTTATTCATAGTATTAAATTCATAATTTTTATTCATACTAAAAAAAATTTAATTCATATGTTTACTTTTCTTTTAAATGAGTAAAAATTTTAAGATAATTTTTATAAATCATTATATAAATAACCAGATTTTATCAAAAAAGGATGATTAAAGGCAGAAAATAAATTTTAAATTATTTAAATATTTTATTTCTTTATAATCATGAATCAAAATCAGCAATTATAATCAATGTTTGCCAATCCATCTAATTAACAATAATAACAATAATAAATTTAAAATCAACAACAGCAGTTAAATTTCCAAAATTTTAGTCAAATACCCATGTAATCATCCCCAAATTTTCCAATTTTATCATAACCTACTCATACTAATTATAATATTTTTGGAGGTCCTTCTCAATAATAGCCATAAAAATAGTTTTATGCTTAACCTAATTTATAACCTAGTCTTTTTGGAATCAATAATATGGTAATATAAAACTAACTACCAATTAATTTTCAAGATGATGAAAAAGTAGAGCCTAAAAAAGAAGATGCTAAATAAACTTCTAATAAGTATGATTTAAATGAAAAACTTTCATTCGAAGTTAAAACCTTATACAAAATGGGGAAATTGATGAACAGTAGAACGTAATACTTACCAGGAATTGTAAGTATAAAAGCATAAGATTAAACTATTACTCAAAATCCTGAAAATTAAAGGGTTGGAGTAGATTTGGTATATAATAATTTTAATTTATGTTAGATTTGTTTAATTGATAAAAGTGGAAGTATGGATGGATAGAAGATAGCAATGGTTCAGCAAACTTTAAGCGTCTTACTTGATTTTCTAAGTGATTGTGATCGATATTAACTTATCACATTTGAGTCTTCAGCCTAAAGACTAACTCCATTAAAACGAGTAACAGATGGAAATAAACAATACTTTAGATAAATAATATCATAAATTTATTCAGGCGGTGGAACAAATATTGGTTCAGCTACTGATTTAGCTTTTAGATAATTAAAAGAAAGAAAATATAGAAATAATGTCACATCTATATTCTTGCTTTCAGATGGTCAAGATGGTAATGCAGTTTAAAGGATATCGGAACAAATAAAGACAGTCAATGAAGTATTTACTTTACATACATTTGGTTTTGGATAAGATCATGATGCTCCTATGATGACTCAAATTTGTAATTTAAAAAGTGGAAGTTTCTATTTTGTTTAAGATGTAACATTATTGGATGAATTCTTTGCAGATGCTTTGGGAGGACTTATTTCAGTTGTGGGCGAATAATTAGAAATAACTATTACTTCTTAAGCACCTCCTCCCTATTAAAACATTTAAATATCTAAAACTTATGGTAATATGTGGTAAAAGAAAGGAAATCTATATTATATTACTCAACCTTAATTTGCTTCAGGATCCAGAAAAGATTATGTTTTTGAATTAGTTCTTCCTAAGTTTGAGGCAAAAATTGAGGATTTCCAAAGAAATGTCAAAGTTATAGATGCAGAATTAAAAATCAAAGATCCAGTTAATGGAACAGTTATTACCAAATAAACCAGTCTCACATTAACATTTTTTAATTAAGATGAATAAATTAATTAAAATGAAGCTGATCTTGATGTTTATGCATAGTATTTCAGAGTCAAAGGAACAGAAGTGATAGATGAAGCAAGAAAAGCTTGTGAATAAAATAAGAACGAGGATGCCGAAAAATTAATTGATAATATGTTGATACAAATTTAAAAGATACCAAATGTTGCTGCTTAATGTACTGGAATTATTTAAGATTTGTAATAAGCAAAATAAGCATCTGCAAGAACATCATATAGTTTATTTGGACAGAAACAAATGTGTCAAATGGTCAGTAATAATTATCAATAGGGAGGAGTCAATTCTTTATTTTCTGCTTAAGGAATGCAATTATAATAAGTTTAACCAGCTGCATACTAGAATGTTTAATAATAATAGATGATGTTTTAAGTGC